TATTGAGCAAGAACAAAAGTGGTTTCATGCCAAGGGGCAGGAACTGTGTGCAGGAACAGAAAAACAGGAAACTAAAAAACGATTCCTAAGGTTAATGTGTAAGCCTCTATTAGGGTCCATTCTCGTGGAGACTCAGGAGTATGCAGGTTGGGGGTGACACTGCAAATCCACAGACAATGAGTCTCATGCTTGTCCCTATTCCCCATGTCCTTGGGAGACTGTTGTGTTCTTCCAAGAAGTCTGTGATTGCTTTGACCATGCCATGCCTCCAGCACCCACCACCAGTGTCAACTTTTCACCATCACCGTGCCCAGGAGGTTCCCAGATCTACTTAAACCACCCCCACGATACAGCCGGTCCCAGAAGCTCTCAAGTTCCACTGCCATTGGCCGCTTTGGATTCTGCAGGATAACATTGGTTTGTTCATTCTCCCTGACCACAGGGAGCTTGGGTTTGTCGGATTGCACCCATTCACAGTGCTCCCAAGGCACTCCCATTCCTCTGTGTTTATCTTTAACTTCTCTGTGCTCTCTTCCACAACCTATTTCCCCTGTGACTTGTAAAGTCAAATTCCTCAGAAATCTCTGGATTTGTATTTGTAAGTGAAATATTGCTTTTCTCCTTCCCTTATGTCCTTTTGCATAGTTTACTTTAGAGGAAAGTTCTTTTTGTATAGACACAGGAAGACAGTAACTTGGGAGTTAATTAACTCCAGATAATATTCACTCCTGGGCATCTGTTTTCTGAACTTAAACCTCAGTTTCCCTTAGTTCCTAGCACCCCAAAAGCAGGGTCTTAACCAGGGACTGGATGGACCCAGGGCAAGCTGTGAGCTACCCTGGCATCAAAACGGACCAGGCCAAGCACTATAAAACTTAACTACAAGCTAAGAACGCAGCCATGGACAAATTCTGTCATGATCCAAAGAGTAACAACTGGATTAGGGCCCTGCTAGAGTTAGGAAAGACTAAACTGGTCTGAGAACTGTAGTCTGGGATCTATCACGGGATGTTCCCAAGAGAGCCACTCTACACGCTTACCGTATCTCTTACTGTATCCGTACAAAATGACTCTAATAAATCTAAGTTGGTTGTTGGGCTAAGTAAAGGAGAAACACTCTCCTAGATGGTATTTTGGCCTTTTACGGATCTCCTGGCTGCAGATCTTTGTTTTAGCAGAGCCTCCCTGGAAGGAAGGGCTTTCATATGTTGACTCTGCTACCTGACCTAGGTTGCTACCTGGTTGCTTGGAGGTTGGGTGCGAGATCAAGGCGGTGAGACTGAGCACGAAGAGACTAGCATGGGGGACAGGAGGAGACGGAAATAGGGCGCTTGGTGAGACTGGACCAGGCGTGGGGGGTAGATTGGAATAAACGGCAGCTGATCCCCAACCAGCCTGGCGACCCTGTTCCCTCCTTCATGTGTCTATTGGTGGCTGTGGCAGGCCAGGGTGGGGAAGCGGCTCATGGCCACCGAACACACATGGCGGCCAAGAGGGAGCACACCATTGCCATGCTCACTCATTTGTTTTGTGATTACACGGGATTCCTTTACTATTTCTTTGTAGCCACCTATGAAAGAAACTGTTCTGTGTGTGCCCCTTTCCTTCAGATTGATTTTACTCAGCATCACCCCCTCTAGTTCCATTCCCGTAGAGGCAAAACGCATGAGCTCATCTTTTTTTTTTTTTTTTTTTGCTTTTTGCTTTTTGGGTCACACCCAGCGATGCTAAGGGGTTACTCCTGGCTCTGCACTCAGGAATTACTCCTGGCATTGCTCAGGGATGCTGGGGATCAAACCCAGGTCAGCTGCATGCAAGGCAAATGCCCGCCCCACTATAACCATCACTCCAAGCTGATGGTAAACTAACAGAGTACCCCTCAACTGTACCAGTGGCTACTACCACTCCCTGGATTTTCCCAGCCACTCCTGTACCACCACAGGCTATTATGGCTCCCTGGGAGTTTCCAGAACCCCACCCCTTGACAAGGGGCTATTGTCCACTTTTTAAATAGCTGGATGGTATTCCATTGTGGACATATACCACTTTTTACCTTTTTTTTTTTTTTTTTTTTTTTTTTGAGGAAGGATTGGGTCATACCCAGCAGTGCTGAGTGGCTGTTCCTGGCTCTGTTCAGGGGTGCCCCCTGGTGGTGCTTAGGAGACTATATGTGGTACCAGGGACTGAACCAGGGTGGACCTCAGGGGAAGGCAAGTGCTTTAACCCCTTTTTGATTTATCTGACCCCTGAAATCTACCTTCTTTAAACTAACAGAGTACCCCTCAACTGTACCAGTGGCTACTACCACTCCTTGGATTTTTCCAGCCACCCCAGTAGCAATGACTGACTCGGCCTGGGCCCTACTCTCAGCTTGAAGGGAAAAAACCTGGAAACCAGGATTTCTCCCAGCCCTGAAGAAGGGATGGGATGGACTCCTTTCTGCCAGGACATCTCTGTGGAAAATGAGGCCCAAAGCCACGTCCAGTTCAACCTGAAAGCTCGAGGCCATCCAGTTCATCATGGGACATCTTATGACCAGGGCTGGGTAACTCTGACATGCCAGATAAGGTTAATGCCGTTATTGGTGTGTCTCCTGTCTTTAGCCGACCCCCAGTACGTCTCAGTAAATAATGGGGTATCCCAAATGGAGAGTTATCTAATCTTGCTGTGTTTATACAAAAGAACAAGTCGGGTTTGTTAAGGCACCTGGAAAAATTTTGAAATGAAGGTACATGTTTCTGTAACTTGCTTTTTGTAAGAATCAGATTCTAATTCTACAGAAATGATTGAATAAAATTAATCTAATCTGGGTTTAAAAGGCACCCCCTTTGGTAGTTTAGATTAAACTTTATTTACTGGCTATAGGTAAGTAGCCTAGTCTATAAAGGAACTCAATGTTGTACATGCTATCACTAGTCTGATCAGGGCATTGGAAGCCAGAGCTTTACTAGGGGGAACCTCAACTCAAAGTGCAGAATTAACTGCTTTCCCCCAGCCTGTGAATTGGCCAAAGTGTCAAGAATGGGTATCTAAATTTGTTCTAAGTATTCATCCTTAGTTCTATGAACACATATAGTTGCTTGGAGAGAACAAGGATTTTTAACAGCCTTTAAGTCTCGCTGCATCATGGGATTAATACCCCATCCAGAGAATATTTCCTCTAAGCTAGAATATTCTGCAGAAGAGAAACAATAGGCATCTGAACAAGGTTTTCAAAATAGGAAATCGATGGTTGAAGGGTTACATGAAACTTCCAACTTGCGAAGAGATTCTTTAATTACACTATGAAAACCATCTTCCATGGGAAGGAACTGAATAGGAAAGTAAGAGAATTTCTCAGAACTGTGCTTTCTGTGCCATTAATGAACCTAGTGGAAATCCTGGGCCTCCTTTCCTAACACCTGTTCAGCATCGAGGAACTTACCAAGCAGAGGATTGGCAGCTTGACTTCATGCAAATAATCATATGCCCAAATGTTCAAGGTATAAATATCTATTGGTTCTTATTGATAGCTTCAGTGGATGGGCAGAAGCTTTTCCAATATGTACTGAGAAAGCCAGAGCGGTGGTTTGGTGTTTCTGTGTCCATTAGAAAAATCTGGACATAGGAAGTCATTTTCTACCAACTATGAGTAAGGCAGTTATTCCTTTCTTTCCATTATTTTTATGAATAGAAGTGAGTATGGCATTATGTTGATTCAGTTTCTGTTGCTTTAACTCATGTTCTAAGACAGCAAACTGCTATGTCCTTACTGGGTCAGAAAGGACCTTCTACTCTTCCAGGGTCTGATCATTTCAAAGTGACATTCCTCAGTCCACCGATATCAGAGGCTCTTGACTGCTTCATATGCCTGGTGGCCTTTGAGTCTTTCAGGAGCCTGGTAAGTGAGAGCAGCCCCACTTCTCAGAGGGGCAAACTGAGGCAGATACCAGGATACAAGCTCAATGCTTTGGAATCATTCCTGTCAGGGCCAGAGATGGAACCAAATCAAGTCACTTTGAAGCAAACCTTCACCTACACCTCAACCAAAAATAGTAGTAGTAGTAGTAGTAGTAATAGTGAGGCTAGAGCGATAGCACAGTGGTAGTGCGTTTGCCTTGCATGCAGCCAGCCCGGCTGAGACAGGTTCGATTCCTCTGCCCCTCTCGGAGAGCCCGGCAAGCTACTGAGAGTATCTCACCCGCCCGGCAAAGCCTGGCAAGCTACCTGTGGTGTATTCGATATGCCAAACACAGTAACAGCAAGTCTCACAATGGAGACATTACTGGGCCCGCTCAAGCAAATAAATGAACAACGGGAGGACAATGACAGTGACAGTGACACAATGACAGTAGTAGTAGTAATATTCACCTTTGCCCTGGGGAGTGACAGATGCCCACACTTCCCTGTCAATAGTTAATTTAATTTTTATTTTAATTTTCCCTGTATAGTTAATTTAATTTTTGGTTATGGGGAAAAACCCAGAAGTGCTCAGGGCTGACTCCTGGCTCTGCACTCAGGGATCACTCCTGGCCAGGCTCGGGGGACCCTATGTGGTGCTGGGGATAGGGGGGCAGGGTGAAACCCTGATGAGCAGCGTGCAGTACAAGTGCCCTATCCGCTGTACTATGGCTCCAGCCTTCAAAGTCCCTTCATTACTTTTAGGACTTTCTGAGAGCCCTGAGGTTTAGGTGTTACCTGCGGAGACACCAGGAGTGCAAATGGAAACAAAGAGGAGAGACGAGGGTACAGGAAGTTCTGAAACCCTGGGTCTGAGGGAGGAGGTGGGAGTGAATAACTGGAATCTGGACTCGGGAAGCCCCGCCCAGCACGCCCAGCACCATTGCCCCGCCCACTGCTATGGCCCCGCCTTCACCGTATCCCCCCACAGCCTAGCCCGCCCATCACCAGTGCACCCCACTGCTGCTGTAGCCCCACCCACCGCCGTCGCCCCGCCTCCCGGAGCCCTAGAAAATTCCAGGCGAAGGTGCTAGAAGAAACTCTTACGAAACCCAGTAAAGATGGAACAGCAAAAGGAAGGCACCGTGCAGGAGGGGTAAGAGACACGCGAGACTCGTGGGAGGCCCGAGAGAGGAGGGGAGGGGGTAAATGAGAAGATGGGACTCTGCAAAGCTGGAGGGACCCGGCCCCCAGCACGACCCGCATGGGGGGAGGGAGGTGAGGGGTGGAAAGGCCTCGAAAGAGTGGGGACAGGGGCTGGCGCGATTGCACAGTAGGGAGGGCGTTTGCCTTGCATGCAGCCGACCCAGGTTCAATTCCCAGCATCCCATATGGTCCCCTGAGCACCGCCAGGGGTAATTCCTGAGTGCAGAGCCAGGAGTAACCCCTGAGCATCTCCGGGTGTCACCCAAAAAGCAAATAAATACATAAATAAACAAAGAGCTGGGATAGGGAGGATGCTTGGGACAGCAGTGGGGTTGCGGACATACCACTCTGCTTGTTTGCTGGGTGGAAGCTGGGGACTCGCCCCGCGGTGCTCAGGGGCTGCTCCTGACGCAGTGCTCAGGGGTTGTTTCTGGTACACTGCTCATGGGTGGCCCCGGGTGCTGGGAGGGCCATGTGCGGGCCCAGGGATCGGGGGTGCAGCTTCCTGCAGGTCAGATGCTCCGAGGCCTGCAGGATCTCTCAGGCCGCCAGTCCCAGCCTTTTAATCCGCACCTTCATTATGATTATTATCCATTTTATTTTTTAAATTATTGTAATTAATTATTTTTGGTCTTGTTTGGTTTGTGGGGCTACACTGGCAGTGCCCAGGGTTTATTTATGGCAGGACCAGGGGGTCCCTTTGTGAGGCAGGGGATCAAACCTGGGTCAGCTGTCCTGTTCTCTGCCCCCACAATCTCATTTTGGGATTGGAACCCTGGCCAGGCCATCTGCTGGGAGAGACAGGAAGGAATAGAAGGAGTGGAGGGGTGAGGAAGTTGGGGAGGTGGGGGCAGAGAAACGAGGAGGGGCAGCAAGCACTCTGGAGACCCCGGAGCCAAGGAGGCAGACAGGGACACTGTCAACCGTTGCCCCGTTCTTTCTAGAAACAGCTCGTCCCTGCCACCGCCTGGCACGGAGCCATGGCCCACTGCGTCCTTCCCAGGCCTGCCACCTGCTCTCCTGGGCACCCCAAATCCTGCCCACCTGGGGCTCCCGGAAAACCTGGCCTCAGTCACCGTCCCCATCCGGCTGGACGCCCTGTCCTCTCTGCTGCACAGTGCGTTGTTGGGGGCTTACGCCCTGCCTGCCTGCCCCTGTGCGCCCCCCTGCCACCCCCCACAGCCCGGGCCTGCTGGCAGCGCACCCCAAGCCCGGGGCAGGTGGGACAGGCAACCAAGGCCTGGCCGGGGTCCCAGGCAGCAGCCCTGGGGCTCCGGGCGGGCTGAGCAGCCAGAGAGAGGACACAGAGGATACCCTGGGTCTCGCCCCAGGACCCCACCGACGCCATCACAGACCTCACCCACCCAGGAAGGGAAGAAGGAACCCGGACAGCCGGAAGCAGCCCCAGACACAGCCCCTGTGGAGGAGGACTGGGAGGCTGAGTATTAGGCTCCTAAGACCCCCTCCGCACCAGGAGACCTGTTCCTGTCAGATGTACCCCAAACTTCCACCCTTCTCCCCAAACCTCAGGGACCAGACCCTAAACCCCATACCCACACCGCAAATCATGCCCAGCACCACGCCCCATATCACTCCTGACAACATTGACACCCCTGCCCCTTCTTCACATTTCCCACCAACCACTGAGCCTTGAGCCTTCTCCTCTTGCCCCCTGGCTTCCTCATCCCCCCCCCCCTCCAACCAGGCCAGTCCAGCCCTCAGCCCTGACTCCACCCCAGCTCAGTCCAAACCTGCCCAGACACCCCACTCCTCCGTTCACTTCGTCCCGTCCAGGCCAGCTGGGACAAGCCCTGTGCACCCCCATCACTCCCTTTGGTCCGAAGCATCCAGACCCCCCACCCCATTTCCCAGCCCCCAGGCGGGGAGGGAATCCTGCTGGAGCAATAAAAGGTGCATCCCACTTCTTGTGCGTGAGTCTGCGTGCGCGTGGGCGGCTGGGTGGTGTGCGTGCGGGCCGTGGGTGGGGGCTCGTGGGCGGGGCCGGGAGGGCAGCGGGGCGCTGGGACCCTTGCTTCAGCAGTTTCCATTGGGGCCTCTGCAAACACTGCACTTCTGCGCGCTGGAAGTTGCTGGTCCACGGGGCCATTGTGTGGGCAGGCTTAAGGGATTTGGGGGGCCCAGGGCAGAGAGGCCAGCAGTCTGTCCAACTCAGTCTGCAGAGAGAGGCTGAGCAGGCTGGGGCTCTGGGCAGGCTCTGCACACAGGTAAGGGCTAGGGGGGCAGCTCTGCGCCCCTCCTCTTTCCAGGCCCCCCAGCCCCTTCCCCACAGGGTCCTGCCCCCCCCAGCCCACCCTGCAGCCCCCAGAGATGGGTACCCTAGGGTCCAGCCCACCCTGACTTAGAACTGTAACTCCCCACTTCTCCCTGAGGCCCAGGGGTCCAGAACCCGCAGCCTCCTCCCTCAGACCTAGGGCTCAGACCTCCCTGGCTTCCTCCCTCAGATTCAGAGTCCAAACTCCCCAGCCTCCTCCCTTAGACCTGGAGTCCCAACCCCCAGCCTCCTCCCTCAGATCTGGTGGAGGTCCCTGACCACCTCTCCTCTCCCCCACAGGCCACCATGCACAGCTTCATGGGTGGCGGCCTCTTCTGTGCCTGGGTGGGGACCATCCTCCTGGTGGTGGCCACTGCGACTGACCACTGGATGCAGTACCGGCTGTCGGGGGCCTTTGCCCACCAGGGCCTGTGGCGATACTGCCTGGGCAGCAAGTGCTTCCAGCAGACGGAGGGCATCGGTGAGGATCCACGGCCCTCCTGCTGGACAGGGACAGTGGCCGGCACGCACGCCCGGACAGGCTCTCCCTGGGACAGGGCCAGCATGGAGGGTTGAGGGCTGAGCAGGGAGCACCAGCTCCAGCCATGTGGAGAAGGGAGGGTGACCGATGGCCGAGATGGCACTTCTCTACTTTTGTTTTTATTTTTCATTTTTATTTAACTTTTGATGTTGTTTAGGGGGTCAAACCTCATGGTGCTCAGAGCTGAGTCCTGACTCTGCTCAGGGGTCTCTCCTGGCAGGCTCAGGGGACCATGTGGGTGCCAGGGATTGAACCTAGAGTGGCTGCATGCAAGGCAAGCATCTATCACTGTACTATTTCTCTGGTCCTTTATTCTGTTTTATTAGGACAGGGAGAAGTGGGCTATACCCTGCAGTGTTCGGGGCTGACTTCTGGCTCTGTGCTTGGGGATCACTCTTGGCAGGGCTGGGTCGGCTATGTGCAAAGCAAGTGCCCTCCATGCTGTGCCAGGGCTGATTCCTAGTTCTGTGCTCCTAGCTGTGCTGAGGACCCCTATGTGGTGTCAGAGATTGAACCAGGCTTGCTCGGATGCAAGGAAACTGCCCTACACATTGAGAATGGCTGGCACTGGGAGAGCCAGGGGCAAAACCATACATGTTAGCACTGGGTGAAGAATTATTATTATTTTTTATTTTGGGTGGTGGAAAGGATCAAATCCAGGGCTTCCCATGTGCAAGATAAGGGCTGTGGGGCCAGAGAGCACAGGGGCACGGTGCTTTCCTTACAGCCAGACTGGGTTTGATTCCCATATCCTATATGGTCCCCCAAGCCCACAGGACTGACTCCTCAGCACAGAGCCAGGAGTCAGTCCTGACCACCACTGGGTGTGGCGTCCAAACAAAATAAATATGTGTATATGAAAGTCCTTTACAGATAGAAATAGAGTATAAAGGAAGAGAAATAGGTTAGATGGTGATTGACAGGACGATACATGGAGACTGTCAACACCCACTTGTTCCTTCACTTACTCACCAACATTTCTTCAGCTCCCATGCAAACCAGAGGGATGCTGCGCTCGTGATTGCGAGGCAGAATCCACTAGTCCCTGTTCTCAGGGAGCACGGCTTGCAGGGGGAGCCAGAGAGTCAGGGAGTCTGAGTGGGCAAGGCTGGGAGGGATGAATGTGGAGGGTGAAGGGACGCTTCCTGGAGGCAGGGACTTGGGAGCTGGGTGTTGAAGGGTGATTAGGAGTTGGGCAGGGGAAGTGGAAGAGAGGGAGGGGTAGGGTCGGGTTACAGAAAGGGTGAGGCTCTCCTGCCCTGGGAGGGGATGGGACATGGGACTTGTCATTCGGGGCAGGGGGAGCCTCGGCGTGACGTGGTGCTCCCACAGCATACTGGAATGCCACGCGGGCCTTCATGATCCTGGCCTCGGTGTGTGCCACCTTGGGCGTCGTCCTGGGCTCCCTGGCCTTCGCCCAGCACCCCACCTTCACCCGCCTCTCCAGGCCCTTCACGGCTGGCATCCTGCTGTTTGCTTCCAGTGAGTTCTTACCCCTCTCCCCACACCTCACTGAACCCCAGTAACCCCCAGCCCCCCATACACTGTCACTGTCACTCTTCTCCCGTTGTTCATCGATTTGCTCAAGCAAGTCCAGTAACATTGTGAGACTTGTTACTGTGTTTGGCATATCGAATACGCCACAGGTAGCTCGCCGGGTTCTTCGAGAGGGGCGAAGGGATCGAACTCGGGTTGGCCACATTGGTTAAGTGCTATCGCTCCAGCCCCCCCCCCCCCCCCACACACACACTGTAAACACTGAGAACACCACCCCAGGGGCAAAGAAACAGTATAGGGGTAAGACGCTTGCCTGGCACCCTGCCGGCCTGGTTGGTTCCATCCCTGGCACTGACAACCAACCAGGTGTGGCCCCCAAACAAAGACAAATCAAAACACCCCTAACCCCAGCCTGTCTGACTCTGATCAGTGGATCAGCAGGCTGCAATAAAACGATTTTGATTTCATTCCTTCCGGCACCCACCACCCAGTCAGCCTCAGACCCCAGAGCTGCCCAGCAGAATGGCCCCCGTTTCGTTTGCAAATGGGGTACCCAGGCCATTAGGGCGCTTTTAACCATCTGGTGGCAGATTTGGGGGTTCCTGGGAGCCGAACATCTTGAAAGCTGGCCAGGATACTCCAGGACCCAGAAGGGGTTTGTCACAATGGATGCGGTTCAGGAGATCAGAGGTGAAGGGTGAGGATCCGAGCACACAGCTGCAGTGCCTGAGAGAGTCAGGGTGTGCCCCTGACACACAGGCACCTGGAGTTTCTGCCTTCTACCCAAGTTTCATTGCAAACACCTGCTGAAATCCTGGGCGGCAACCTAGAGATCAGGCTAATGTCAGCGGCTCGAAGCCCTTGTCCTCAATCCCAGAGGTGTCTATTTGGGGACCAGCTCCCCATCCTGAGTCACCCGAACACGCAGGCCTGAGCCAAGAACCTCTAGAATAACAAAGACACTCCTATTACTCAGAAAATATCAAGGATGTAAAGGTCTCCCTCCCCGGAACCGAGACAAAGCGAGACAAAGGCTTCATGCATTCCTCTGGACACTGTACGGCCGCCCTGCCCCTCCCTCAACCCCTCCCACCCTCAGCTCAATTCCTGACCTCACCCAGTCCCCCAGCGCGTTCACATCCATGTGCAAGCCCAGCCCAGAGCCCCCTCCTGTGCCTGTCCAGACTGGCACCCTCTCTCCGCAGCCTTTTTTGTTCTTCTGGCCTTGGCTGTCTACACTGGGGTCACCGTCAGCTTCCTGGGCCGCCGCTTCGGGGACTGGCGCTTTTCCTGGTCCTACATACTGGGTTGGGTGGCCTTACTCATGACCTTCTTTGCAGGTACCTGGGGAGTGGAAAAGATTGGGGCGGGGTTTGGACCCAAGGGGCGGGGCCTGGGGAGGGGCAACTCCAGGGCAGGGACGGGGTTTGGGAAGTCTGGAGTGGGGGACCGATGGGCGTCGGGAAAGCCTGTCTGCAGGCTGGGCCTCCAGATATGACGTGTCCCTAAAGGGCTTGTGGGGTGGACAGAGGCGGGAGGGAGGAAAGAGGGGTCAGATGGGGTCTGTTCCTGAGCAGGGATTTTCTACATGTGCGCCTACCGGGTGCATGAATGTCGACGCATGTCCACTCCCCGCTGAGCCCCAACGTGCCCCCAACCTGAACTGCAAGTTGGAGCTGGAAGCAGAGGATGGACCCAGTTGTGGAGGCCTGAAATCCTGGCTCCCAGAGGCATGAGGGACATGATCCTGACTCTGGGTAGTAGTCCCTGACTCCTGTGTCCCCAGGGGTCAGGGCCTGGTGACCCAGGGGGCCTGGACCCCACCCACAGGGGGCAGGTGTTAGAGAAATGGGGTTTCCTTTAGTGCCATGTGGTGGAGTCTAATAAAGCGGATGTGAACCTACAAAGTGAGTCTGGATGGTTGGGTGTGGAGGCTGCCGGGTTCTCCTAGGCTGTGGGGTCTGGACCATGCCTGGTGGTACTGGGGGAACTACCCTGGATCTGTGATGGGGTCGCAGTGCTCAGGGAACCATGTGGTGACTGAGGTCCACAACCTGCAGGCCCAGCCCTGTCTCATCTCTGCGACCTCCTGTCTAAGACACCCACAACCCTGGCGCTGGTTAAGTGGGTCACCCACATTCCCACACCCAGATGTGTACAGCTGCTTCTCACACCAATGCCGCTGTGATGGCTTTACCCCACACCAGCAAATGATGAACTCAATTCTGGCACTACTTAGCTGGACGTAGGGTCAGACCCTTCGGAAAGAGCTCTCAGTCCCTTTTCAAAATCTGACCCCGTCACCTCCCCACTTCACAGATGTTCATCACATTAGTGCGGAGATGCCCATCCCATCAGCATGGAAATGCCCATTACATTAGCATGGAGAAACAGTACAGGGCTTGAGATGCCCTTGCAGCCAGCTGGGGTGAGATCCCCAGCACCACCAGGAGTGATCCCTGTGCACAGAGCCGGGAGTCAGGACTGAGCATTTCCAGGTGTGGCCCAAAAACAAATGAGTGGAGGTTGTCATCTGTGGCTTTTGAGCAAAAGGCAGCAGATTTGGGGTCCCACAAACATTCTTGGCTAAGATTCATTTGCCCAGAGGCTGGAGAGATAAAGCGGGTAGGGTGCACACTGTCAACTTGGGCTCAATTCCCCAGCATCGCCAGGAGTGATTCCTGAGTGGGAGAGCCAGGAATAAGCCCTGAACATCACAAAACAACACACACACACGGAATATTCATTTACCTAGAGAAGGTTTCAGGACTCAAGGTATTATTTTAGTTAGTATATATATATATGTATATATATATTATATATATAAGGTTTTTTAAAAAGATACCTCTAAAGTTTGTGCTATCGTTGCTTCAGCAACAAGCCCACATTATTTTAGTTCGCCAGCATACTGGTTTAGCATGAAAGGATCTAACCGGGCAGACAAATGAGAGACGAAAGATGGGTGTGGATGGGAAGGTACCCTCTGCAGATGTGTCCCTCTCCCCAGACCCTCATATTTCACCAGCAGGAAGTTCTCTGAGTCCCAAACTCTGGGGTGTTCCTGGAGGCTTCAGTACAGAGACAGGATCGGTGACATCCTCAGCTACCAGGAAACTCTGTGTCCAGCTACTTCCCCAACCAGCATGTTGGGAAACTTCCAGCTCTCTGGCCGGTGGGTCTGTCCCCTGATGCTGAGACCCCCTTCCACTTCTAAGGCATTTTCTGCCTAGGTGACCTTATTCACATAACAAAAAGACACTATGGATGGTCTTGAAACTTAACTTCCTGGGGCCTTAGGAGCTAAATGCCAGAATTGGGACTGAGAATCTATCCGTGTGTGTGTGTGTGTTAACCATATCACATTGAAGTAATGTGGAAAAATGGAAAGATAGATGGAATAAAGATCTCCCTTCCCATGTAGCTCTCCCAACCTCCCTCTCTTCTCCCTGGGTGGAGAGGTATCCTTCCATGAGCAGCCCACCAAACTCCAACCTCCACCTAGTCACTCACATCACCTTGATCTCTGCCCCCTTCTCTTCCTTCACTCATTCACAACTAGTTCATTTAATCAATTGATACTGAGATTACCTATGCGATTTATAAAATAATGAGACTGGGGGCAGGGAGATAGTACAGTGAGTAGGATGCTTGGCTTGCATCACCCATCCCAGGTTTGATCCCTGACATTCCATATGGTCCTCTCATCACTGCCAGAAGTGATCCCTGAACACAGAGCCAGAAGTAAGCCGTGAGTACTCTCAGGTGTGGTCCAAAACCCCAAAATAAATAAATAGTTAAATGAAAAAATGAAGCTGTTCGGCAAGGAGTACTCTAACAATAATATTTACTACAGCCTGAACTAATGACCATCATACATGGGTGACTCCCTGGAAATAATATTGATGGGCAAATCCTTAAGTAGCAACAATGCCATTTATCTAGAAGCTGTGTCTAACCACCCGTTCAGTGGAGCCTTCTCTCCAATAACATATTGAGTCATTTCAATAACCTATTAAAGTGAACTCATGTCATTGAGGGAGAAAGAGGTCCTGCCCTGTAGCCCAGCAATCATGTTCACTCAGGTTCAAGCTGGCACCCAGAAATGATGTCAGAGCCCCCTGACTCAGGTCAGCCATTCCCACAAAGTTTCCGCACAGCAGCCTTCAAATGTCACTGGCCTGCAGCTAAGATCTTGACAGCTGCTCCTCCCACAGTCTCCCCAACTTGTTAAACAGAAAATTGCATTTGTCCAGGACACCTCGGTGTGGTCCTCACCCTTTGCTTTCCGGGAGATCTCACCTCTGACTCATCAGATGTCTCACTGGCTTTGGGGACCAGAGAGATACTTCAGCCAGCAGCACAGAGCTCCACACCAGCACAGAGCCAGGAGAAGCTCTCAAACACAGCCTGGCGGGGACCCAGCCCAGACCCATATCAAGCCAAGCATCCAGAATTTGATTTCTCCTTGCTCAATTACTTGTGTGCCCTCGTCTCTGCTGATCCAAGACACCATCATTCTTCACCTGGCTTCACTCCACCAAGTCCTGGTTGGCTCCCAGTCTCTGCCTTCATCCTTTGCCCTCTAGCCCCATATTCCCTCCCAGAGCCCTGCAGTCTATTCTTCATACAGCATCTCAAGCATGTTTGGTGAAATGAGAGTCACCAAACGGAAATGAGCCCTAGCCCTCAGCTATAAGCCCTCCAGGAACTCCCAGCTCAGAGGAAAAGCTGATTGTCTAGGCAGGCCAAGGAGACGGTGCAGTGGGAAGGGCATATGCCTTGCATATAGCCAAACTAGCGATAGGACAGCGGGTAGGGCGTTCGCCTTACACGCGGCCAACATGGCCGACCCGAGTTCGATTCCTCCGCCCCTCTCGGAGAGCCCGGCAAGCTACCGAGAGTATTCGATATGCCAGACACAGTAACAACAAAGTCTCCAATGGAGACGTTACTGGGCCCGCTCGAGCAAATCGACGATCAACGGGAGGGCCTTTACCTTTACCTTTACCTTTATAGCCAAACTGGGTTCCATCTCCAGCGTCACCATCTGGTCACCCAAACCCCGCCAGGAGTGATCCCTGAGTGCAGAGCCAGGACTGAGTCCTGAGCACAGCTGGGGGTGGCCCCAAATTAAAAACAAGAGCAAAACAATCCAAGTCGTTAATCATATGTTCTTCCATTCTCCTGTGCATGGCCTGGGAGCCTCATCCCCCTCCTGAGAGGACTCAGGAGGGAGGCGACAGCTGCAGTTTCTATTTAGTCTGTGTTTTACAGGGCGAGGGCACAACGTTGACATGGGAAAACATGTATTTTATTGTTTGGTTTGGGATTGGGGGCTGTACCTGGGACACTCAGAGTTGACTCCTGGTTCTGTGCTCAGGGATCACTCCTGGTGGGTTCAGGGCACCCCCTGTGGTGCTGGGGACTGAACCTGAATCACATACATGCAAAACAAGAGCCCTGCCCCGTCCTATCTCTCTAATCCCTTGATACTGATTTTCCACTTTATTTACTTATATTTTAAATGTATTATTTTGGGGGCCACACCTAGCAGTGCTCAGGGCTTACTCTTGACTCTTCACTTAGGAATCACTCTTGGCTAGGCTCAGGCCCAGCAGTGCTCAGAGCTTACTCCTGGCTCTCTGCACTGAAGGGTCACTCCTGGCTGGGCTCAGGGATGCCGAGGATCAAACCCACGTCAGTCACATGAAAGAAAAGCACCTCCCCTACTGTACTATCGATCCAGCATCGGGTTTTGTTTTGAGAGCCACACCTGGAGATTCTCAGGGCTTATTCCTGGCTCTGTACTCAGGAATCACTCCTGGAGGAACTCAGGGGACCATATGAGGTGTCAGGAATCGAACCCAGGTCAGCTGAATGCAAGGCAAGTGCCCTCCCTGCTGTACTATGGCTTTAGCCCTGAACAATGAATCTTACCTTAGCATCCAAGGAAACAGGGTGAGTGAAACTTTAGGGGTTTAGGGCGCTTTATTGGAGTGAATATTCCAGGCAGTGCCCGGGGGCTCCCTAAGCCCGTTCCTGGCAACACTTAGCCAGGCGCTGCTATGGCCAGAGGTGCTGGGAGCCGCCAGAAGCACCCGGTGAGGCACTGGGAACAATGGCATCCTGGGAGATGTGAAACAAACTTGGGAACCCAGGACTGGGAGATGACAAAGGAAGGTCCTGTCTTTGCTTCCAAATGGTTTTTCATGGTAAGCGCTGGAGGCCATGGCTGGCAGGGCTCTGGAATGACTTCCAGCTCAGGACTCACTCCTAGCAGTGCTCGGAGGGTCACCGGTGCTGGGGAGCAACCCAGCCCTGCTTTAGAGACACGTGCTCAGCCCTTCAAGCTGTCTCTGGTCCCTCCATACCACTTTTTTTTTGGAGGGCGTGGGGGGTGGATTTAAAGGCCACACCTGGCAGTGCTCAGAGCTGACTCCTAACTCTGTGCTCAACGATTATTTCAGGCCATACTTAAGGGACGGTCTTGTAGGACTGGTGCAAAGCCAACGCCTTCCCCTGTCATGCTCTGGATCCCCCTTTCACCTTTGGTTGGGACCCCACGGTGGCCCCCCCATTACAGGTCTCTCAAGACGGAAATTGCTGAACCCACAGGAAAGCGTGACGCATCCCCCCAACTGTCCTCTCTGGCCACATCCCCCTTCTCACCCGACTCCCACCTAGGCTTGCTTTGTCACCTCCCAGTCCTGAGCCCCAAATCTCTCACCTCTTCCAGGAAGCCCCTCCCTGCACCCTTCCGAGACACCCAGGGGCTCAGGGGAGGAGGTAAATAGGCAAATTGGAACCAACCGCCACCAGTAAGGGTCTGGGCTGTGACAGCCACAGTCCCTCCCCAGCTGCAGACACAGCAAAGGGGAAATCGCAGGCCCAGAGGGGAGGACGCCTGTTTGACAGCCAGGAAGGGAGGCGCGTGAGGTTCCCGAGCAGGAACTGAGGAGTGCAAACCCCACCGGGGTGCCGAGGCAGACCCGCACTCCGCCCCTGGCTGCACCATGGAGCCCTGCCGCTCCCTGGCCCTGTTCGTTGGCTTCCTGAGTCTGGCCACGGTCCTGGTGGCCCTGAGCACGGACTTCTGGTTCGAGGTCGTCACTCCGCGCTTCAGGGGACACTCGGGCCTCTGGAGCAAGAATCTGAGGGACTCAGTGAGAGGTCAGGGGGAACATGGGCTCTGGGCGGGGGTCCAGGGTGGGGGCGGAGGGGCCGGACCTCAGCAGGCGTGTCCTGCCTCCCCCCCCTCTGTGCAGACTACATCCGCGTGACGCAGAGCTTCAGCATTCTGGCCGTGCTCTGGGGCCTGGTTGCTGTGGTCTTCCTGGCCATGTCTTGTGTCCCTGCCCTGTCTGCTCCGGGCCGGGGCCCCATCGTCTCATGCTTCATGGCCTTCGCTGCAGGTAAGAACAGAGGCCAGGTGAGGCTAGGGGAGGGGGCAGATGGTCCCAGGCATCCCCTGAGGTGCTGACACTGTCTGTCCCCAGCTCTGTCAGCTGTGGTGGCCATGACGGTCTACACTTGTGTGTGGTGGAACCAGCCTTGGCCGACCCACATCCAGTTCTTCTTTTCCTGGTCCTTCTACCTGGGCTGGGTGTCGGTTCTCCTCTTCCTCTGTACAGGTGAGTGGCGTGGGGTGCAGAATGGAGGGAGGGAACCGGGCAGGGGCACCCCTGATCTCTGCCTGGCCCCCTAGGAGGCCTGAGTCTGGGGGCTCACTGCCGTGGTCCCCTGCCTGGCTACGAGAGCATGTGAGCAAGATGAAGCCTGGAGGCTGCTTGGAAGCCCGAACCCCGCCCTCCTGCTGTTTCTTCATTCAACTGCTCACAAAATACTTGGTGAAGATCTGCTTCTGGTCCTTGTTGTTTTTGCTTTGGGGGCTACACCTGGTGGTGCTCAGGTCTGACTCCTGGCTCTGTGCTCAGGGATCACTCCTGGCGGGACTATGCTGTGCTGGGGATCGAACAGCATCAGCTGCACCCAAGTCAAGCGCCATAACCCCTGTGCTGTTCTGGCCCAATCTTAACTCAGCCTCTATGGAAGCTGCACTGCTTGTGGGCTCTGGGCAGGGGAGCCCCGGGCAAGGGGCAGGGTGGGTGGCGATAAGTGGAGGTAGAGGTGGGATGGGGGGAAGGAGAAAATTGACAGTCCTGAGGAGAGCACTTGGGGTCTTGGCGGGGCCCAGGGAGCAGGAGAGGTGCTCCAGGCAGCGGGCTGAGAGGCCGGATGCCAAAGGGTGGATACAGTTCTTTGTGCATGGGACAGAGAAAGTGGGGGTGGTGGGAAGGGAGGTGGGGGCAGACAATGGGTGGGTTCGAGCTCCACCCATTGTCTCAGGAAGTGATGGGGAGTTATGGGGTGAGTAGGGAAGGGCAGCCGCAGTGCCAGCCTCCAGAAAGTTCCCTGGGCCGAGTGTGCAGGGTAACAGGTGAGAGGCAACAGGCAGCTCCCAGGTGGAACCAGGCAGGACTAGGCTGCTGGACCCGAGGCAGGCAGGCTGCGGAAATCAGGCTGAGAAGGAGACAAGGAGCCAGAGAACGCAGGAGGCAGGAGGCTCTGGGGCACCCAAGGGCTTAGTTTTTGTTTTTGAGCCTTTGGGGCCTATACTCAGATGTGCTCAGCCTGACTGCTGGCTCTGTGCTCAGGAATCACTCCCAGTAGAATTCAGGGGTCCCTAAACAATGACAGGGATGGAACCCGGGTCGGGGGTGTGCAAGAGTCTTACCCCTGTGCAATCGCCCTGGCTCAGCCAAGGGTTTTACAGAAAAAGGAGCGCTAATGGGACACATGGCATGAGGTGCCTGGTCACAACCCAGCCCAGCCACGTGGGGCAGTGGATGCTGTGAGCTCCCTGGGGAGAGGTGGGAGATGGCCAGGAGGGGTGAGGGCTTGGGCAGTGCCTTGGGGGAGCCTCATCTGGGGGTGCTGTTGGGGAGGCATCTGCCTGGTGTGAAGTGAGGCTGGGCCATGGCACAAGGAGGAGGAGCCCACACAAACCGCAAGGCTTCTGGGGTCAAGCGAAAGATGGTTACAGGACAGGGCCTCAGTGGCTGTGCAGACTCTGATCGGAGCTCTTTCAGGGGGGCTGCAGAGACGCAGACATCTACAAGGGGGAGGTGCTGGAACCTGGACACCTCACAGGCAGGGAGGGACACCTCACAGGCAAGGAGCCCCCCCTGTGGGCTCTTGTTCTCAGCAATCCTGGGGGAGGGGCAAGGAGGGAGACATTGGACAGGTCAAAGCGACATTCCTCAGGCAGGTGAAAAATCTCTGGGAGACGGCGAGAGTCCTGAGTGTGGCCCAGGACATAGGCCTGAGGATGGTGGAGGAGCTATGGATTGGGCAAGTGGCAGCCCGGCAGGGCAGGGTGCTGCCGTGGTCTCACAGGGAGCTGTGGGCCGGGTAGCAGAGTGGAGGCTGGGCTGTGTGTGCGACTTGGTGGTGAAGCGGAGCCTCTGGTGCATGGGAGCATGCTGGGCCTCCTGACCACTGTCGCAACCATCACCCACTCCTGGATCTGACAACCGGCAGCCACAGAGGCCTGTGGCAGAAGTGTGACAGGGCCAGAGCAATAAGACAGAAGTGGGGTGCATGCTTGTCTTGCACACAGCTGACCAAGGGTTGATCCTCGCTTCCCGTAGGGTCCCCCGAGCCCACCAGGAGTGATCTCTGAGCTCAGAGTCAGGAATAAGTCCCGAGCACCACCAGGTGTGGCCCCAAACCACAAGATAAATAAAAGGTCTGCACCGATTGTCTTGCTAGAGTGACACCCGGCTCACCTGATGTCAGAATCCCCCACAGGACAAGTGGCCCCCCCCACCCCCAGCTGCTGCTGGCCACATCCTTAGGAGCCCTCCGCTCTGTCTCCCCCCTTGCGGTTTCAGACCTGTGACAAAAGCCAACACACAAAGAAGTTGCTGAGCACGTAAGGGCTGCCCATCCCCTCTCGAGACACAGCTTGCCAGTCTTAACCCAAGCCCTCACCTAGGGTTGGGATGCTCTGGGCCCCAGACCCCAAGGACTGTGCAGATGTTGGGTGATGGCCAGTGCAGTGGCAGCGCAGGACTGAGGGTTCACTGTCCCTAGACCACTGGCTGTGCCCCTAGCGTGCATGGTGCTAGCATGAACCTCCAGCATCTTGGGTATTCTATTTGGACTGTGGGTACTGGGCTATAGGTGTGAAGACTACTCTCTGCCTTTTTCCTCTGCGGTGAGGGTGGGGGGAACTCTGAGGGGGGGGGCCTGGCACAGGATGAAGGGGGGAGGGGAGGTGCTGGGGACACACAAGGGGCAGAGCTGTGGTAGATAAGCAGGGCCCAGGAGATGGGGAGGGGCGTGGCCACAAGATATAGGGGGTGTGGCCAGGAGTTTGAGGGCGTGGCCAGAAGCTGCAGGGGCGTGGCTAGAAGATGAGCATGGCCAGAGCCTAGAGCTTAGAGGTTCTGGAAGCTGAGGGCTTTGCCTCCGCTGTGGACGCGGTATAGGGATCCCACCAGATCACACTCTCCTGGGCCGGTTGTTGGAGCCCAGGTCTGTTGCTGCAGATTGGAATGATATTCTGCTCCATGTAGAATGAGTGCACAGAAGGGCGAAGCCTTCTCAGGGTCCTAGTGTTTGGGGTGGCTGGCTTTACCGTTCTCTATTTTCTGTCCTGTCAGAGCACCAATCCCCCTTGACCCCCAGCCCTTCTCCCTGGACACTCCAGTGACTACCCAGCACTCCCCCAGTATACATTACTCCTGGGGTTCCGCAACCTGGGCAAAGACCACCTTGGGAAATCTCCTCCGCACACCAACCACTGCCCCCTTTCCAGCACCCGGGACCCACCTTCCTACCCTCCACCCCCCCACCCCCCACCCCCCGCCGGTTCTGCTTTCCCTTGGCAGATCAGAGCACCAGCGCCATAGGGACTGGCCCGCGTGCCTTTGACCGCAGCCTGACTTGGAGCAGAGTAAAGAAACGCCTCCTGGCACGCTGGGGGCTGGCACCGCCTCTGGAATGCAGCCGCGGAGAGTCGGGGCAGGGGACTTGAATTCGGGGGTACAAGGAGGCTCAGGGAGAATGTGGACCAATGGGGAGGTGCCCGGGGGAGGGGTGGCAGGGGAGGGACCAGGGAGAGTCTCGGAGAGGACCTGGACGCGCAGGACGGTGAAGGGGCCCGCAGGGGACACGGGCGCGTGGAGATAATTGGGGAAGCTGGGAGGACACGGGCACGGAGGGACAACGGAGACTTGGGAGGAGGACGCAGACTCCGGGGGGCTCAAGAAGCCCTTTGGAAGAGAACGGGAAGATCACGTGAGAGGCCTCCATGGCGTGGGGCATGGAAACACGGGGCAAGGAGGACAACCGGGGTAACTGGGGAAAGGGGGAGCCCGTGAGCCTCGGGAGGCGTTCAGGACCCCTGGGAGCACCCCGTCGCTCCCGGGAGCCTCCCACGACCTTTCCCCCAGTTCCCGGCCACACCCCTTCCCTCAGCCCTGGAAACACCCCCGCGGATCCCGCCCCGCGCCGGATCCGCCCTCCATTGGTCCGCGTCCGCTTGTCACGCCTCCCCGCTCGGCCTCCCCATTGGCCGCCTGGCGGGGGCGGGCGCCGAGGGCGGTGATTGGCTGCCGGCGCGGTGCGCAGGCGCAGACGAGTCCGGACCGGGCGGCCCCGGAGCCGAAGGACCCTGCAGGCGGAGGCGGCGGCGGCGGCGGCGGTGGGAACATGGCGGAACTGCGAGCGCTCGTGGCCGTGAAGCGAGTCATCGACTTCGCTGTGAAGGTGACCGGGACCCCCCTCCCCTCTTCTCGAGCTCGCGAGCGCGCACGGCGTGGGGGTCCCCGGCACCCGCGACCGGCGCGACTTCTCCGCCCCCCCCCCCCCCAGTGGCAAAGTCACACCTGAGGGCAAAGATCACTGACGATTGGCCACAGGCGCGCTCGATGCTTCTAGACACACTTTCACAATTGTTGGCATTTTCCCTTTGCGGGGCGGGGGCGGGGGGCACCTGGCGGTGCTCAGGGCTTACCCCCGGCTCTGCGCTCTGCGCTCAGGGGTCACTCCTGGCGGGGCTCGGGGGAGCCTGTGCGGTGCCGAGGGTCGGCCGCGTGCAGGGCCAGCGCCTCCCGGAACCCACTCTCCTGGATAGCTGTGTGCAGCGCCCGTTAGCTTCTCTCGGCTCACCAACGCTCCTGCTGTGCTCGCAGGCCACTGTTGCATGCATCACTCAACCTGCATCTGCATGGCCACCCGCACAGGTCCTGCCCGCATCAGACCCACACATACCAGGACGGAGGAGGGCCCACGTATGAAGAGTTACCTGTGGGTGCCTGCGGTGACAGCCCCCACTGGTCCCAGGGCTGGTGGAACAGCGGAGGGTCTCGGGGGGAGCAGCAGGTCTTGACTGTGGTGCTTTCAACACCGGCTCTCCAGAGCACCAAACTGAGGCTGGTGGTGATCCACCTCCCTTGGAGACCTCTGACACACAGCAGAGTGGCTGCCCACTTCTGCACCCTCAGCACACTGCCCAGCGCACAGCCTGCTTTACAAACCCCAGGGATACCTTGGAGTGATTGAAACTGGGGCCACCAAGTTGACCCGAACCACTGCTGCCCACCCCTATGTATATTTGGGGAAGCCCAGAGCCAGGGCCTGTGTGGGAGCTCAGGTGTCACGGGCAGCCTAGACTCAGTGGGCACTAGCTTTGCACTAGTGTCTTCTTTTCTTCTTCTTCTTTTTTTTTCTTTTGACTTTTTGGGTCACACCCGGCAATGCCCAGGGTTTACTCCCGGCTCTGCACTCAAAAATCAATCTTGGTGGTGCTTGGGGGTTCATATGGGATACTGGGGATTGAACCCTAGTCGGG